CCACTCCATTTGGAACTCACAGATATTCTTTCTTTTTGTTTTTGTGGCGGACAAAGGTGTAGCAATCCAGTACCTCCCATCTTGACAGAATTTGTTTTCAGATGGTTACAAACAATCTCCGTGGACTTTACAACCATCGGGACGGCATCCCACCTAGTTTCCATCGTGTTTTCCGGAAGTTTCCAGAGGAAGGTATTTGACGATGTTGAACTAAATGCTCCGTTCATAACGATGGCTTACCCATTGCACTGTGGTTGCTCAGATGTCTAAATGCCGCAAAATTTGAATTTGTTTTGAGAGTGGCTTCAAGAAATTCGTGTTCTTTTTCCAACTCCTCCTCAAAACCTCTGCGAAATGAAAGAGTCTATCGTGGTTGCCATTTCGATCACACACTGATATGTGCTATAAACTATGTGGAGTAGAGTGGATTAAGAGCTTTGTGTGCTCCACGTTACATGAGGTGCGGGCTCGACCGTGCCATCCACCTGCGCCTTCCCCCGCTCCCGGTCTTTTTGACCGTGTCTTGACACCGGGTCCGTGTGGGAAAGGAGAGAATACGGTAGATGCTGCACAAGTCTGCATTCACTATAAACTAAACCACGCGCAAGTCACCGTGTCTGCTTTACCTAACTGTGGAGCACACGGTGGACATTGTCGGCAACGATGGTCGAACTGCCGGTGAGTATATGAAATAGTTGCGCGATTAAAGAGAAGACTGTAACAGTTCCCTTAATCACTCCTACTGACATTTAGACCGTCGTTTCTGACGATGTCCACGTGCGCCCGATAGCGGATAGGGCGCAGGGACAGTGACTTGCGCGTGAATTAGTTTATTTTGATGGTAGACTTGCGTGGCATCTACTGGACTCCCTCTTCCTCTCCTACCTGGGCCCGAGATCAAGACACAGTCAAGAAGACCGAAGGCGGGAGAGGGCGCAGGTAGTTGGCCCGGCGTGAACCGCGCCCAGACGTGCAACCGCATCCTCTGGTCCACACACAAACTACCAGAAGCTCACACAAAAAGGGGATCGGCTCCGATACCAAATGAACGGGAGTGCCATAAGGGCCCCTGCAGTCTGACCCTCAGTCCACTAATCGGCCATTCTACACAAATACACACTGGCCTGACTAAAAGGTCTGAAGTAAATCGTCAATTGACAACCTAAACCCGACGTTCGCTGCGTCGATGTAAATTTGGATGCGTCGGAGGAGCAAGTAAGCCGAGAGTCGACTTCACTTTCTTTTTCGTTCTTCATGCATCAATCAGTTGTCCGACCCATTCAACCAACCGATGGCAGGGCTGAAGACGGTCCGTTTGAACGTGTCACACATAAGACCTGCCCCCCCTCCCCCACAATACACCTGGATTCCGCGAGAAATGGGTGAACTGATCGGATCTCGCAGTAGCCGAGGGGCCACATAAAGAAGGAGCCGAAGAACACACTTCACACTTACGTGAGTGGTGTGTCTAGTCCGTGCCTGTGGTGTGTTATGCGTGTTCATGTGCGGTGAATGTGCTGATAAGGCAATGTAGAGTGATATGGTTTAGTCTGGGATGGTTCAGGGCCTATTCTTTTAGAGGCGCATGCGGCCGAACAGGCCAATACGATGGATGAATGTGCGAGGGCATTGAGGACAGCCTAGGCGATGACGACGGGCGTATATTGATGCGTCAGGCACTGGTTTGCCAGTGTCTGTACGACGAACTCGCAAGTGACCGAGGAGACCGATGCGCGACATGCATACGCTTTGGAAATGTGGGTTGCATAGGTTAGGAGCTGCGAAGTCGGTTGTGGGGATATTACTACTGGTTTTGGCTGCGTCTGTGGATGGCGAGTTGGATTGCTGGAGATGGGAGAGTTGTCGGGCGTGCAAAGTATGTTTGTCATGTCGATTTTGGAACGAATTCCGCCGTCGTGTATACGCATGTGGCCGAATAGGCCCATGCGGCCAGGTAGTGTGCGTTGAGAGTAAAGATAGTGAGGGTGGACGCGTCGGGTGTACGCCGGGATTTCTGGTACTGGTTTGCTGCTCTGAATGCGGAGGATTTGCAAGTAAGCGACCAGGCTTATTCATGAGGTGAGTGTGGGATCACAGTGAGGACAGTTTGGGATCTAGCGCACATTTTTGGTGGTTGGGGCGGTGGTAATGCAAGTATTGGTTGAAGTGCGTCAGGAGAGTTCGCATCGATGTAAAGAACGGAAGAGATGGTAGTCTTCATCGCCGTCACAGACTCCGTAGGGGTTTTTGGGTTGTTGCTTCGCTGTGTTCCGAGATGTCCCACATGGCCGACCCGTGAACGAAACGTCTACTGTCCGCGCGAGCATGTTTGAAATGATTGGATTTTGGCGTTGTGGATCGGAGGTACTTGAGACTTGCAAGCGGCTCTTTTGGCTTTAGTGACGGTGATATGAGTGACTTCATAGATTGCTACTCCATTCTTCACTGTTCTTGTCCAGGTTGGTCAGACCTGGACGAGATACTTCCAGGTCTCCGGGTTTGTCCGCAAGTGCTTGAGAGAGCTCTCCGGGTGTCATTGTAATGTCGTGTTTTACCTCCTTGTCGGTGAGTAACCATAGCAATGTCTCTGTGAAAGAGTCGTTTAAGTAGTCGTCAATCGCCCATCCGCACAAGGTGGTCGTTCCACCTCAGTTACAGTTTCGTCAGCATGGCTTGGATGCTAAAGATTCTGGTCCTTCTCAAGACTTTTGCGACAGAGATCCTGTCCTGCCGCCTCAGTGTGATTGGCATCGACTGTTCAGACTTCCATCCCATGCGGCATTGTCGCCAACATGACGATTTTGTAAATTTAACTAATAGAAACGAAGAGGCGAGTTCCAGGAAGTAGTCGCGAAGAAGGAGACACGATCGCTGGGACAGGAACCTTGTTAGCCTGACGTTTCGGATTCTCACATGAATCCATCATTGGAGCCAGAGTCAGATAAGGGTAATAGACTGTCCAAATGTTGCGATATTTGTAGGATGTAATTGTCAGGCCGTTGCATGCCTATCACAGTTGGTAGCTCCAGAGTGAATCCCAACTCGACTGGCCGAGTGTTGAGGTATGCAGTTGCTATGCCCTGTGTATCGCTTCTCGGCTCTCTGAGCTAAGATTTGTGCCCCTGAAATGGGCCACGCGGTAGATCCGCTGGACCAACACGGGGTCATATTGGACTCTTGTAGGCGTTATCGGCTTTGCGCACAGTAACAAATGCCAACATCTCAGGGTACGGTGGCAGACACGGTGTCCGGCAGCCGTCGCGCACACTGGGACCCTGCCACCCCCCCTTGTTGTTGTGAATAAAAGTCTGGTTATTTATTGTGTGGACCAGCGGATGTGGAGTGGAACGCCAAAGTGCATGCTCGAGCGTGTCATCCACCTGTGCCCTCCCCCACCTCTGGCCTTCTTGACTCTGTCAGAACAATGGGTTTAGGTGGGAGAGGAGGAGAGAGCGCAGTAGATGCTGTGTAAGTCTACTACCACTATGGACAAAATTTTCGCACAAGTCACCATCCCCGCTCCAACCCTGTAGTGGCACATACGGTGGACATCGTCGGACGCGACGGTCGAACTGTCGTGTGTCGGTCAAGATTATCAGGTCCTAAGTTCATCGCACGTATTCGAGTTGTTGACGATCGGGTTTCGTCATTCGTGCGGACTCTTGGGCAATTTGGCTCGTCGACGTTGACACCAGGAACAGTGGTCATCTGCATGCAGCTAACTACTTTGCCAAGACAAAGGCGCAGCGCCGAATATGGAACGCAGAGGTGGCTGTGCGTGTTGATTGATTGAGGATCGGAAAACCATGACTCGAGCAGTTCGCGCCTCACGCGTTTGTCATCTCCAGGAAGAATTTCTGCTTCGTCAAACTCGAATTTGTGGTCGGGTCCTGCCGAATGAGCCGCGACTTGCAAGCTGGCGACGTTCCTCTTAACTGCTGCTGCGTGCTCAGCCATTCGTGTTCGAATCAGTCTCCTGGATTCTCCGAAATAAACGCTCTGTCCACAACTACACCAGACCAGGTGAACGACTCAAGATGTTCCCTGCCGTAGCAGTGGGTCTTTCGGCCTCATACTCTGGCGCCTGATGGTTGCCTTCGGCCCGTGCGCCACTCTAATTCTAAAGGACGTAAGAAGGCGACTGACGGCTTCTGAGGCGCTCCTCACGTATCAAAGGGTCCAACAAAATCTGGAGCGGGTGGAGTTCGCCTCTCGTTTTGTTTGCGCAGACACTGGTTGACAAAGTTACGCGGGTAGCCATTAGCTCTCAGCAAAAGTCGAAGATATTTAATTCATCAACCTCGTCTTCCGGTCCAATGTTGTGTCTCCACACGCTGGTGTAGCGCCCTTAAACAACTGCACCCGTGACTGATTGGGTGGGTTCTGTTGCAGCTCAGTACTTGCGTCGTGTTTGTCGCTTTTCTCAACACTTTGGTTTTAATGGCACCACAATCTTTGCAGCAAACTAGTACATAAAGAATGACCAGATGGTTGTTTTCTTCCCCCTCCATCGTAAATTGAATGTCTGCGAAGAGGGCGATGGTCTCGACTGCCAGGTCCTATGGGATAAAAGTAAAAAGGGACGTGACATTAAATGATACCATGACGTCGCTTGGTAGGAGACTTACCCCTTTAAGTTCCTTCAAGAATTGTGTTGACGAGCTGACTGTGGCATTCGAATCACAGGTCAGATACTTGAGACGTCGAAACAGCTACTTCGCCAGTCTTCTGAACAACTGGGTCTCCTTGGTGACGTTGTCATATGGAGCCTGCAGGTCTTCCAGGCGCTGGACGAGTTGATTGCCGGGATCGAAGCGGTGAACAGATAAATTCAACAGAAAAGCATTTAACTTTCCTGGTGGTCTCCTGTGAAGTCACAGTCGGTGTCTCACATTCGAGATGACGAGGAGGTGATCCGGCTAGCCGTCAGCCTCGTAGACCGCTTTCATCGCCAGCACGTTCCATAAATCTCACCTCTGGAGGAGATCTTAGTCCAACAAATGCTGGTGCCACGAGCGAGGGTGCATCCAGGTCGCCTTCTTCTGCGTCGAAAGGCGAAAGAGGGTGTCGATCAGGAGGAGGCGCTGTTCTGCGCGGGTTCGCTGAAGGAGGAAGTGGTCGTTGCTGCAGTCGCCGAGTCTATGAGGACCCAGCACGCACTTCCAGGCGGTGTGGTCTGCCCTGACAAGGACGCTGAAGTCGCCAACGGCATTCAGCTTGTCTGCCTTCGACAAAGTCGCCAGGTGGGTGTGCAGGTCTTCGTAAGGCTTTTCTCCACCTTGTCGGAGTTGGCCATTGTGGGATCTAGACGATGATTACTGTGGCGAAGAGATAGGTATAGGGTCATCAGTCGGTCGTTGATGCCCTGCGACGGAAAGGAAAATATTCCGACGATGTCGTTCCAGCCCCGCGTCGCTCATCCTGTTGGTGACCGCCTCCTCTTGCCGAACCTGCTCGGAGGACTGGATCTCTCTGAGAGCAGTGATGTCGACTTTAGTGCACCAGTTCTCGAACGACTATCACTGGTCTCCATTCCTGAGAGCTACTCCCCGATTGTCTAAGAGAAAACAGACATTCCCGTCTGCCATAGTGAAAAGGATCACTCTAACAGTTTATGGGGTGGGGCGGAGGATATGGGAACGGGGCTGTTTCTGCCTGTGGCACTGCTTCGACTGGGAGTTGTACACCTGCAATCCGCGGTCAGTTTTCTGATAAGGTGACCCAACATTTGTTAATAACACCTTTTTCCAGTCTCCTCTCCCATGAGTTAGTAATCAGCGTCTTCCTTAAATAGGGCTACTGAGACATCCCAGACGGCCTCCGAGCCCTGCTATGGGTCACGGTTTTGTTTAGGGGAGAGCGACCCGAGTCAGCCTAGGCCACAGACGGGATTGAATGTCGCTCTCTCCACAGGAATTTTTAGGGTGGGAGGGGAGAATGGACATGGGAGCAGAAGTGCCGGATATGGAGACACATACAACCCTGGATGCCCTCATCTGGTTTAGCCCATCCGTTGAGGAGGTTGCCGAGATGTGGCCACTTGGCCTAGCCCAGCTTCGAGAAGATTACCTGTCGGACAGGGGTGTTCTGCGTCCTTTTTTATGTTTCCCATTGTCCTGCCTTTCCCATTAGGTCGCTGAAATCTATATAGGCAACAGAGGATTTGCTGAAGTGGTCGTCTGAAGTTTGTGGCATTTCTCAAAAACGAGTTTAAAAATATTTTCTTAAGACCATTTAGTTTGACTTTTTAAAGTCTCATACTGCGTCTTCGTGTTTTGACAATTAAGGAAAAATAACTATGCATACACACCCCAGGCCCTTATTTTCTTAGGTTGAGCTAATTTCTGAAAAGTATTTAGAACGCTCTGAGTGAATCAACGCAACGCTGGTCCGTTTTGAATATCTCTAAGGAGGAACCATTTGCATATGCAAACTAATTGTTTGCAGCTGGCGGGAAATCGGTTGAGTCTAGACTTGCCGGAATCGGTGGACGAAATGCATTCCCTGGTGTACCTAAAAAAAAAACCTTAAATATTGCTCGTTTTCTAGACCAGCTTGGCCCTCAGGTCCGCAAAGGCCGCAGTAGTCTTCATTACAAGTAGAATGTAAGCTTATTTATGATATCATTCTTCATTCCATACTTACAGAGGAGTTAATCAGAGGTCACTCTGGCTAAGGCCTGCCATAACTTTATTTGTTAAAATAGCCCTACGCAGAATTGACCTCAGTTTCTCTTCCTGCATGACCTATGTTCATATTAAAGCGCGGAATCAGAAAAATTGGGGATACTCGTCTGCTCCATGACTTACGAGGTTGGGTCCAAGTCTGCACATGCTACGTAAGTGCTAAGCCCTACAATTACAAAGACCTGATTCCGACGGGTAGGGAGGGGGAGCTGGCATAAGCACCGTGGATGCAAGTCCAAGGTCAGGTGAGTGGACGCAGTAACTCGCAAGGCCTGATGCTCGGTCAAGTGAGTGTCACATGCATGTATGGTCCCCTTGCTGGGCTAACGTAACAACATATACCGTACTGTGTCTTTTACCTCAACGGATGCCGCCGTATTTCGGATATTCTGTTTGCGTGACCGAGGTCGCCCGACGATTCCAAAAAAGCCGTCACCAAGTCACAGACGTAAAACTAGAATAAATTTGTGCGGACGGAAAGCCAAATTTTCACAAGGTGCTTTCGAATTCATACTCACTAAATTGCTTATAGTCATCTGGCATGCTGAGACTGGTTGCGTTAGGTACACGAAGGGTGGGAGAGGGAAAGCGGTGGCCAAGCAGGGATGAAAAAATAACTTTCATCATGCCACGAAAAGCCTTCAAACAAATGCACCCAAAAGACTGCGACTGCAAGTTACACACAATTAACAGTTTGAGCGTCGTTTGCGACGATATTTACCATGTGTCCCATAGGAAGGTGGACGCAGGGACGGCGACCTTCGCGTGAACTAGTTTTTAGTGGTGGTAGACTTGCGTAGCATCTGCCGCACCCTCTCCTCCCTCAACTGCCCCAGCCCGGTGTCAAGACAGAGTCAAGAAGATCAGAGACGATACCAGGTATAGGTGGATGGCGCGACTTGGGAAGAGACATAGGCGTGCCACAACACCCCATGAACGACACTCTGTTCAACAACTCTGTTGCAACAAAAGAGGCTTAGAAGCTGGAACAAACGATTATCTTCCCGAACTTTCGAATCAGGCCAAACCAGACGGCGACTCAGCGCACACGTACTCGAGCACAAATGGGTCGTAAGGTGAGGCAAACGACCGTCTCATCGCCGCTCGATGGCCCGACCATTGTGATCGGCGACGTTCACCGTGTGCTCCATAGCAGAGTGAAAGCAGGGACAGTGACCAGCGCGCGAGTTAGTTTATAATGGTGGTAGAATTGTGCTGCATCTGCCGCATTCTCTCCTCCCTCCCTCACCCACCCGAGCCCAGTGTCAAGACAGAGTCAAGAAGACCAAAGAAGACACCAGGTACAGGTGGATGACGCGACTTGAGAGTGGACATAGGCGTGCCACCACACCCCATGAACAACACTGTGTTATTATTGCGCAGTCCATTAACGCGTACCGAACTCTGATCTAACCCCGATGCAGCTTCTCATTGTCATTTCTTCTGTTGTGGTACCCCACCTTCCCCTTCAAATACTTCGTTATAATAGGAAACTGTTATCAGGCGGCTGCCTCCTGAGTAACTGTTTCTTTTTTACTTTTTCATGTTTACCTCTGGAAAGAGGGCGCCTCCACTTGGGCGCAGTGGCACTTTTTCACTCCTTTCTAGTGCGAAGGCAGCAGTGTAAAGACGTGAGTAGACAGTAAATGGGAACCGGTGACCCCTCATGACTCATTAACTTTCTGTCAAGAATTTGCCACCCACACGTTGCCCATCACCGTTTTTTGTAAAATAATGTGTAGAAAAAATCTGTCGTATGAACGGAAGTCTAAGAACCCACACCACATTAGGTTAAAAGTATTGTCACACAATTCGCCATGCCTACAATACAGGCACTATTTAAATGCCCACACACGTGTTTCACCAACTGGCTGCATTTGCATGACACAGCTGCGAGGAGTTTGACTCGTCAGTAGGTCCGAAAGCGTTATCTTGTGCTTCCGGTGTCGCAATTTCAGCTTTTTAATGTCCGCAGAAGTTAATGTCCTGACCTGGAGTTAGTTCTTCGGAAGAGAGCTTTTTAGGTCTGGTCCCAAAGTTGGCATGAGTATTTGAACCGAATTCCACCGGCTACAGCGGGATGACCGTGTAATAGTCGTTAAGCGTTCATCAGGCAGCCAGCAGCATGCACATGTTGCATTGCTGATTAACTCTTGCCAAAACACAGCGGTACACAAGCGCTAATAACTGAGTCCGTCCTTTCGCTCTCCGATTCCTTCCACTCCTTCTTTGATATAAGATGTTCTGTGGTTTTTTTAGGGTTCTGAAGATTTATAAGTGGCGGACGGGTAAATCTGTCTTTGACCGACGCATGCTAAAGCAGTATTAGCCTCACCAGAAATCAGGGAACACAGAACGGCGGACTCTGGTATTTCTGTCTTGGCTAATTTTCAAGAGGTGGTTACGGTGTTCAGGATCTTCAGTACAAAATTACATTGTATGAGTAGCATTCAGTCTTAACAATCACATCAGGGTGTTCCCCTAGAGAAGTAATCAGATTGAAACTTTATCTGATTTAAGAGTCAGTAGGCGAGCATATGGTTTCGGTAACTCATCATCAGGCTGGTACGCTTACATAGGTAATGATCATTCTAATTGTAGTGAGGATATAAATGCGTCTCAGAGGCAGGGTTAATCGGACTCCATGTTCCCACGCCGCCCGCATGACGGAGTCAGCGTGTTGAGGACGGTGGAGTTGGGGTAGAAGGGGGGAAGGAGAGGGGTTTCGGTTAGATTGTAAGCGCTGTAAGTGCGTGTGACTGCTCTCAGGGCGTCGGGACGGCGTGCGATCACCGCCTGGAGCGGCCAGGGCAGACTGCTTGTGTCAACGTCTTCTGACGACAGAGTGCTGGGGTCGCTGGTCGAATGGCCACTGCTTCGGCTGTGGCTAGCACCCGTTTGCGCAGGCCTTTAGAGTAGTGTGCCGCTGCCCGGTAGAGAACTTTAAAGGCTTCTTTGGCGTCGGCTTGGTAGTTCGTGTCGATTAGATGTGCTGGACCTGAACTCGAAATCGGTCGATTTTCACCACTACCTAGCTAGGCAGGCATGTGTTAGCGTATTGTCATTTCCAGAAGCCGCGTTGTACGGCTAATATATCCCGCTCCACAGGAGCGCGTGAATGAATAAATAAACATGGATGTGGCCTGTAACGGCAACCGGTCTTTGCCCACCAACCGTACTAGGGGAACGTTTGTGAAGAATACATGCAAGTTCGCCACGGGGAAGGCACTCGCAAGAGCTGTCCTAAGACGTAGAATCCTTGAGCAATACGGCTGTCGGATAGCGCAACTCCAGACGAGGGGAACAGCTAAGCCAGAAAAGTGCTCGCTGTCTACACTCGGCGGAGTTTTGTAACCTGATCACCACGGTCCATACCGCAGTTGGCAAGACTTAAGTATATGCGCGGGGTAGGGAAAAACTGTGGAGAACTGGCTAGTATATTTTCTAAACGTGCTGGTCCGCAGAGTTTTTGGTCGACCCTTCGTCGGCAGGATGACATTCGCTGACCTGTATCGCCCCCAAGAACCCCTACAGCTGAAAGGTCTACATTGGTTCGCCGTTCTGCACACCCCACACGTGATTATTTAGTAAGAGAAAAGCCCAAGTCAGAAAAGTGTTCGGCATGGAGGGTAGTTAGATGGCAAAACGATACCCGAAATTGTGGTAGATGGAACGCATACGTCTGCCAGTACAGCAGGAGTGTTGAAACGCTGGCAAATTAGTTAAAAAACAATTGGCATCTTCCTGCCCCGCACATGCACTTAACCTTTACCCCATTGTCCATTGTAACTTAATAGAGCCACGAATTTTTATCACGATGGCAATCCAAATCTTCCAATAATCTTTAATCTAGGACAGTTTTATGACCCTACCCC